TTTTGTTTTTTTTTTTTTTTTTTTTTTTTCTCGCTTCTTTTGTTTTTGCTTGACGACAAAATGAAAGATGATGCCGGTGTTGTATTTCTTTGCCGTCAGGTAATATATCAAATGACGTGAAAGACGTCAGTTCCTGCATGGACTGCCTGGGGTCATGCCTCGTCTGCTTCTCCTACTTCCTGGTGGCCCTAACGTTTCCCTTTTCGTTATTCTTTTGTGTCAAGGTGAGGAGCCCCGGCAGTGGCGTAGCTAGGGATTTGGGGGCATTTGGGGGCCTGGGGGATTGGCCTCTTTAGGGGCCCCTGCATTTTGACATTCAACATTATTTAATGTAAAAAAAAATTTCGGACACGCCTTTGGGGGCCCCACTCAAGTAGGGGCCCGGGGGGAATTTTGAATTTGGACCCCCCTCCCCTAGCTATGCCACAGAACCCCGTATATATTTTTAAAAAATAAATAAAAATAGCGTACAATGTTTGTAGTTTTTCTTTTTAAATGCCTCAACTGCAAAAAAAACATCTTATGATAAATCGCAAGGTTAGTGCAGAAGTAGAACGTCAGCTCGGGGATATGCTGAAAGCCCTAAAAATCACCAAACAGGGTAAACGGAATTTTCGTTTGGCTGAGCGGCAGGGCAGGGCGAGACCATGTCGACAAGGAGGTCTCACGATGGAGCTGGAAACTTGAAACACGCAACACCGGTAACAGAAAGAATTTGGTGAAACAAAATATATTTGTTTTAAAAAATATTTTATTTCGTTCATGATCAGCGGTAAGGTTTGGCTTTGTATCAATGGTGAGAATGCCCCTAACACATTCTCTAGTGCCGAGCACGACCCGTGACTGTGATGTCGGTGCCATCCATTTGAACATTTCAAATTTTAACATGACATGATTTAAAAAATGTCGTGCCTCATTTACATTACTTTAAAATCCCTCTCTCTATTCATCTCGATGTTCTATATTCAATATTCTGTATTGAAATCTTTTGCCTTCAGGTTGTGCAACAGTTTGAGAGGCCGGTCATTTTTAGGCTTGGCAAAATTCTCCGGAAAGGGGGAAAAGGACCTGGTAAGTACAAAGGACTTGGTAAGTACAAAGGACAAGGTAAGTACAAAGGACCTGGTAAGAACAATGGACCTGGTAAGTACAAAGGACCTGGTAAGTACAAAGGACCTGGTAAGAACAATGGACCTGGTAAGAACAATGGACCTGGCAAGTAAAAAGAACCTGGTAGGTACAATGGACTTGGTAAGTACAAAAGACCTGGTAAGAACAATGGACCTGGCAAGTACAAAGGACCTGGTAAGTACAATGGACTTGGTAAGTACACTTTACCTGGTAAGTACAATGGACTTTGTAAGTACAATGGACATGGTAAGTACAATGGACCTGGTAAGAACAATGGACATGGTAAGTACAAAGGACCTGGTAAGTACAATGGACCTGGTAAGTACAAAGGACAAGGTAAGTACAATGGACATGGTAAGTACAATGGACCTGGTAAGTACAATGGACCTGGTAAGTACAAAGGACCTGGTAAGTACAATGGACCTGGTAAGTACAATGGACTTGGTAAGTACAATGGACCTGGTACGTACAATGGTCCTGGTAAGTACAATAGACCGGGTAAGTACAATGGACCTGCTAAGTACAATGGACCTGGTAAGTACAATGGTCCTGGTAAGTACCTGTCTTCGGATGAAATATAATCCACATGGTCCAGTAGCCATCCCTCTAATTCAAATAATACGTTAAGAACAAAAATGAGGCTCCTGGCCCAAACGTTCTTCTTTTATGGTGCTGTCTTTCTATTTCAAGCTTCCACATACCATGTTCTTCTGATTCAAGCTTCCACACATCTTGTTCTTCTGTTTCAAGCTTCAAAACATCTTGTTCTTCTCTTTCAAGCTTCCAAACATCTTGTTCTTCTGTTTCAAGCTTCCAAACATCTTGTTCTTCTGTTTCAAGCTTCCACACATCTTGTTCTTCTGTTTCAAGCTTCCACACGCCTTGTACCACTATTTCCTTCACACAGCTTGAACGCAGCCATCCATGTATTAGGCACAAAATTCCTTGTTAAGCTCGCTTGCTGTATTTTTTAATAAAGATGTGTTCATCCATTTTTAGGCATGTTCTTTATCTTACCGTGCACCGATGAATACAGATCTGTGGACATGAGATCGATAGTTTATGACGTGCCTCCACAGGAGGTAAGACAACGTGTTTAGTTAGCAGACAATATGTTTAGTTAGCAAACATGTTTAGTCAGCATACAACATGTTTAGTTAGCAGACAACATGTTTAGTTAGCAGACAACATGTTTAGTTAGCAGACAACATGTTTATTTAGCAGACAACATGTTTAGTGAGTTAGCAGACAACATGTGTAGTTAGTTAGCAGACAGCATGTTTAGTTTGTTATTTTTGGTGGTGGGTGGGGGTGGGGTGCGCTAAAAACCACGCCTGCTGATGACATCACACCTTCCAATGAGCAGATCCTTACGAAGGACTCGGTCACGGCCAGCGTTGACGCCGTCGTGTACTACCGGGTGGTGAACCCCATCATGTCCATCATCTGCGTCTATGACGCGTACAAGGCCACGCAGCTCCTGGCTCAGACATTCTTGAGAAACGTCCTGGGCACGAAGAATTTGAGCCAGCTTCTGTCGGACAGAGAGAACATTAGTAAAACTTTACAGGTAAATCGAGACCTCTGTATTATGCATAGTTCAAACCTATGTAGTACAATAGTGTATGTAAGGACAGGACACAATTCAGGCTTGCATGCCCTAACATTATGTGGATGAAAGCGTAAATTAAAATGTTTAATGTTGTGAATTGTTAAAGGACCATAGAATTAACGACACTGCCTTCTAATCTTCTAAACATCAATTCTAATCTTGCTTAGATCTCTGTTTTCCATGGATATCTGTATACACTGTTTCATTTCTTTTCTCCCCAACCTCCAGATGAATTTGGACGAGGCCACCGGCCCGTGGGGAGTGAAGGTCGAGAGAGTAGAAATGTACGTTTTAAAACAACGGACTGGATGAAGTGGGCGTAAATGGTTTTTAAACATGTAACGATTCTAAGAAATCCTTCTGAAGAATCATAAGTCAACGAGTCACTTTTATGCAGGGCTTTGGAGCTGGAGTGCTTAGCTCTCGAGCAGGTTCTTTTTTGTCCCGGGCTGTTCAAATTTCTTCCTGTTCTAAGCTCCGAAATGTACTTTAAACAAAGAAAGCTGTTTTTTTTTTTTTTTTTTTTTTTTTTTTTGTTTTTTTTTTTTTTTTTTTTTTTTTTTTTTGCTGGTACATGCATTTCTATTGCTCATTTAATGAGATCGGTTAGCGACACTAATAAGCACATCTCTTTAAACACATTGAACCCCCCCTCCCCCTTTCCCTTTTCTCAACCACACCTCCTCCCACTTTAATTTTGCCGGAGCTCGAAGCGGATCTGGAACAGAGATGACATAAATTTGTCAGGAGCGGAACTGGGCCAAAATAAGAAAAAGCCTGCTTCTAATTCCTGGTTTGATAGATTGTCATGAGAGTTGATAAAGAACATCAGGGTAGTATGCTCGGAAATGGGCTTCAAAAATGCGGTGATTGCTCTAGCTACATTTCCTATGGGCAAAGGGTTCGAATTTCTGTGGCACCCGTACTAGTCTGGGTGCAGAAAATGTGCTACGAAGGGTATGTTATTGATGAGAACAATGAGTTTCAGAGTTTGGGGAGTGGGTGGGGCTAAACTCAAGCCACGCCTATGTATTCAGCCAGTGTTGGTGTGGGTACTTCAGAGTTGACACTATAATTGTACTCGTACATAGCGTAGGTCTTTTAACAAACCAGGACTGTGTTTAAAAAAAAGTGTGTCCTTTTGATTTTTTTGTTAAGACGCATTACTGTTTGTAACTTGTGGCTAACATTATTTTTATTACAATGCCCAGCAGTTGGTTAAAGTGTTACCACCCTGATATTAAACTATTCAGAGTTCTTTGATTTGTGGGAATGAAACGTTCTACCTCGACTTCCAAACCAATTGATTTCACAAAATCAGGTGTTAAAATATGCATAAATTTCGTAACAAATCTGGTATTAAAATATGCATAAATTTCCTAGCAAATCTGGTATTAAAATTTGCATAAAGTTCCTAACAAATCTGATATTAAAATGTGCATAAATTTCCTAACAAATCTGGTGTTAAAATATGCATCCTGCTAACCTCCCACAGCAAAGATGTCCGCTTACCAACGCAAATGCAGAGAGCAATGGCTTCAGAAGCCGAAGCAACGCGAGAAGCAAAAGCAAAAGTAAGTCTGTCTATTTCCTACACCAGAATAAAAGTAAGTCTGTCTATTTCCTACACCAGAATAAAAGTAAGTCTGTCTATTTCCTACACCAGAATAAAAGTAAGTCTGTCTATTTCCTACACCAGAATAAAAGTAAGTCTGTCTATTTCCTACACCAGAATAACCTTTTGCATGCGTCCGATCTTGAGCTTTTTTTTCTCTTCTGGTTGCACATTTATTTGAATAAAAGTACTCATTAAGGAATGTGTTGGAGTTTAAAATTTCTTGCCAGTGAACGTTTAATTAAAGTCTCTCGGATGGGAGCCCCCTTGCAGACCACCACATTTATTAGCACTGGCTTAAGTTATTCCGAAACACTTGGCTGTTAAGCTACCCACCCCCCCCCGACGGCACCTCCGGCCCTCAATGTGCTACGACTGCCCACAGGTCATCGCCGCCGAGGGAGAGCACAGCGCTTCCAAGACGCTCAAAGAGGCGGCTGACGTCATATTTCAATCGCCAAACGCTCTGAAGCTCCGATACCTTCAGACGCTCGTGACCATCTCGGCCGAGAAGAACTCCACGGTCATCTTTCCCTTCCTCATGGACTACATGCCGCAGAAGAGGTAGGTAAGTACGGACTAGTTACCCGCCCTTTCTTTGGTACAAAGAACTGTCAAGTGACCTGGCCTTTGTTTAGCAAGAACCAATGACCTGCCCTCTGTTCGTCAGTAATATCCCTGCATAACGTGAAGGTCTTAACAAAAGTTATTTTTCTGTCTAACCCATTAAGCCCATTAACGATTGCTAAAATAAAATTAAATCAAATGAAATATGTAGTAAAAATAAATAATCAATGTGCTCTTGTTTCGGGGTAATGCATAATTGATAAATATCGGCTTCCTTTGTTACGTAAGTCATTCATATGTGCTTAGTTATAGTTATATCTAAACTTTTCTAGACAGTTACAGCTAAGAACATCTGGTATAACTCTTCTAATCAGTTGGAGTACAAAAAATATCCATGTATTATAAACTTGACTTTTCAAGACAGCTGAAATACGGGCCAATAATTTCTAGTGTCATTTTCTAAACATCTGAAATATGGTCAATAATCTATCGTATTTTTTCTAGACCAGGCCTGCACAACTAAAATATAAGGCGGGCCGTAATGCATTATTAAAAACTTGTGCGGGCCAAAAGAAAATACGACAGGACTTGGGCGGGCCAAAAGAACAGGGGGAAAGCTATGAAGAAAATAACAAGAATAAAAAGAGTTTTTCGTTACCTCGCGGGCCACAAAGTAGGTGCTGGCGGACCACATGCGGCCCGCGGGCCGTATGTTGTGCAGGCCTGTTCCAAACAGCTGACATACAGCCAATACATACATACGACAAATAATCTCTTGTTATATCGTTGACTATTCAAGGCAGCTTTACGCAACTGAATCGACCTTCCAGCCCAGCCTCGTGAAGAACTTGTCAACCAATACCGGGTGGTCTATGCCGGGGTCTAAACTAGATAAAGTTTAGCTGGGACTTAGATGACGTAAGGCGGATAAAGTTTTGACTGTTGCAGTATCGCTCTCTTTTACGTCAATTTGTTTAATATGGCGATCACATCACTCTGTTAAATTATAAGAGATTGTTTCGACTATTGGGGCCATATCAGCCTTTGATTTCTGGGATCAAGTGGATTTCTAATCGGATATTTAAAAAAAAAAAAGGGGGGGGGG